ATATTTTATTGCTAAATAAGTGCTACCCATAGCACTGGTAAAAACAAGGTCTGTTCTTTCTGTACAAAGTCGATAAGTAGACAGAATACTGTGAAATGACTAAATTTAGAGGAAAAAAATAGGGGCATGAACCATTTTACAGTTTCAGCACGAGTTATGTTTTATTTCCAACTCAAATAGAACACATGCCTGGTTTGCCCTTAAGTTATCTTACTGTAAACATTTGGATTTTTCATGTCTGAAAAGATCCTTAAAAATGCAAACGTTAGCAGCTTCCCCTGGAATATTAAAAAAAACTATTTCAAAATTCCCCCCTTGAGTTTGGGCCATGGACCAGTCTAAAATATTTGATATGTCTGGACAGTCCCTCAGTTGGAACGTTCTGCTTTGAAACTGATAAATAGTTAAGCCATTGTCTATTCCGTGCTTCTACAATGAATACTGGCATTTCCTGAAAACTTTCTGAAAGAGGAAAAAGGGTATCTGACATAGCCCACTGTGACCTGAATGAAACAGAAGAACACATCATGCTTGAAAGCTGGCTTTGGGTGAAGCCATAGGTCCTTAATGCAGTTGAAGTCGTTCTGGGTTGACCTTGCTACTCCATCAGTGTTTTTCACTGGCAACAGAAAAATAAATTACTTACTGAGATAGAGCTTGTGACTGACTCCCAATTGGTCTCAGAGGCTGCTGCGGGTTGGAAATCTTCCTAGAAGGCAAACAAACATCCATGTGAGTCAGTCAAACCTCTGCTCAATTCATTACACGCACAGTTTCAACATCACAGCCATCTGAATCTTCTTCCAACTAAGTGACAACAGGAATAGGGGCTGCATTCCTGCTGAACAGGTCATCATTTGTCTTAAGCACCTTTCCTCAAGAGCCTTTCTCATTCAAGACACGGACAACTACATTCACATTCACATATAAGCACTGGTGAAATGGAAAACATGCAGACAGGAGTTCAAATTTTAACTCAGCCATCTACAGGCTGTGTGATCTTAGATGATCTACTTAGCTTCTCTTCCTCATCTGTAAAAGACTTGTATGGGATGTTTAAATTACAGGGTTGTTTTGAGAATCGAATGTATTAATTATGTAACTATAAACTAGCACTTAATAAAGTGCTTAAAGTGATAATAATTACTATCAAGATTAATGTTTGTTTGATTTGAACTAGGTACTGCATCATGTTCAATCCTTCCTGCTAAGCTTATCTACAATATCAGTGATCTTTTCAAAGGTAAATTAACTGACAAAGGGCTATTCCTGACTCCATTAAGAAATGTCAGGAAGAATGGAGGAAGAAGAAAATAACTGTGGGACTGACAAAATACTGCCCACTGGAGGTAAAAAGGTTAAGGGCAGACCTGAGAAAGTTATTTATCTGAGAAGCCATAAAGGATATGTGATAGCAATGGACCTCAGAGAAACAAACTTCTCTTAAAAGGTAAACCCTCCGATTTGTATGTGTCTTTTCATGTTACTCTAGCACCCATAAGTTTAAAAAAACATAATGGGAAGAAGAGCTGATTGTACCATATTTACAAGTCACACATGGCTTTTTGATCCTGTTAACATTAATTACCTTGCTGAATTTCTTCCAGCCTGACCAGGGAGTAGGAGGTATTTTAATATATTGCTGAGAAAAATTCAGCCACTTGAATCTGAAAACTTATTTACCCAAGTATACTTACTCTGAGAGCTAAGTATCAGGATTAAATTTCATTAGCATTTTGAGGAGCTGGAAGTACATTTGTTAATTGCTCATGATGAGACTAGTTTATATATAAAAGTCTGTGTTGAAGAAAATTTTACTTGTTTCCCAAGACAGAACTGAGTCAAATGTAGGGTCTAAGCAATGGACATCTATTGAAAACTGACTAGAAATCATTATTCTAATCTCAACCTCATGGAAGATAAGAAAGAAAGAGAAAATGTGGTCTCTGCATCCTGAAAGATAGACTAGATATGAAAAGGACACTGAATTCCCACAGGAGAAGGATATGCAAACAAATGAAAAGGTTGGAATTTATGAGTCTTCATAAGCCAGTGAGCAGGTGAAATGGAGTAAGAGAGCCAATGACTTCTCCATGTCTTGAAGAGACTATCGGTAGAGGATATATGCTGGATAAGATAGGCATGAGAAATCCTCAGATCACAGAATTTTCATTTTCACTCATTCATTCAGTATTTGTTAATCACCTACTATGTGACACATTCTAAGCTGAGGGTAGAATCACAAGGAAATTAGAAACTATCCCTACCTGCAAGAAGTTCAAAATGTAAACACGTAAATAAATACATAGGTGCAACAAACTCATGTGGTTGCTCTGATACCAGACTAATCAGAATAGCATGGAAGGTAGTAGAAAATTCTACCTGGGGAGTAAGTGGGCTTGGAAAAAATTCACATTAAAGGTGACTCTTGAGTTGAATCATGTAGATTCAGATAAATAGATAAGTAGATGTTTACTTGCAAGAAACATGGGGTAGAAGACTCAAGTCAAAAAAGAGTGATATCTAGACAACATGAGGAATGTATACAGAAAATAAATGCAAATTACAGGGGAAAGTTAATGAGTCATGTTGGACATAGAATGTTTGAGCTGCCTAAGCAATATCCAGGTAGAGATGTTTAGGAGGCTGTTTGCTATATGAAAATGGACCTCATGGTACAGACTTGAGTTGAGGTGTAGATTTAGAAATCACCGGCACAAAAATGGCAATCAAAGCAAATAATGGATGTTGACCATGTGTAAAAATCGAAAGAGGGATAATCTTAAAATCTTGGAACTGGAAAGAATTTTAGAATTCTCTAGTCCAGTCTCTTCATTTTAATGATTAGAAAACCAGTTCTCTGGGAGATAAATGGTATACTCTGTATCATATAGCCATCTTCTGGCAAAGCTAGGACCATCAGAGCTCCTTTGGAGTACAAAATCTGTGGTAATCTTTCACATCATTACAGCTGGCTTAGATGGAGCCATGGCCAAAGGGAGGTGGGAAGGGGTGGTTAATAGAAAAGCAATAGAAAAGACAATGCAGAATGTTGGTGGAAGATTATTTAGATTTTATATCTACCCTTACTAAATTTTGTGACTTCAGTTTACTTCATTTCTTGCATAGACACATGATAAAAAATATTTTGTCAGTTGGTTAAGAGCTTGCTCAAGAGTTTGAGATCTGAGCAACAGCGGTTCGATGCCCAGCCTGAGCTGAGCTGCCGCTGAGCTGCCAAAAGGTGGCAGGATGGCTCAGCTAAAACAAAACAAAACAAAAATTTTGTTAAGCATTTTAAGTATAAAAGGCCTTCCATGCAAATGCACCTGGACAAATGTTACACAAAGAACTTTTAGTTTCTTCACTGTCTCAGCTAGAGGATTTTAGTCAGAAACTTTAATAGGCATAAATGATAAAGAATTTCATTAAGGTCCAGATAAAATGTAAATTTTATCTTCTCTTAGCAACAGGAATATTAGACATTTAAAAGAAACCAAACATTTTTTATGATATTTCAAAATTTGTCATTATTTACGACATATTTAAAATGAGCTTAAGAAAGAGAATGATATCCCTTATAAGAACAAAACACAGAACCTCCAAATTTTAGTCCTGAAAGGAGAATCTTGTCAGGGGAAGGAACACAGCAATTTTACCTTCTAAATCTATCCTTAATATAACCATTTCTCATCTTTTCCACAACAACCGCCCAAGTCCAACATATCAGCAATTCTACCAATTGTCTTTTAACTTTCTCCATGCTTCCACTCTCTCCCTAGAGTCCACATTCTACAAATGGCAGCCAGAATTATCTTTTCCCCCCAGCCTTATTGACAAATAATTGACAGATAACACTGTGTAAATTTAAGGTGTATAATGTGATAGTTTGATACGTATATATTGCTAAATGATTACAATAAGTTAATACATCCATCACCTCGCATAACTATAAGTGTGTGTGTGTGTGTGTGTGTGTGTGTGTGTGTGTGTGTGTGTGTGTGTGTGTTGGGAACATTTAAGATCTACTCTTAGCAACTTTTAAGTATATAATATAGCATTGTCCACTATAATAACTACATCAGAGTTCCAGAACTTATT